ATGAATAAGAAGGATTTTTTTTCCCAAAAACCAAATTCGTTCAAAAATTAAGGATGTAAATTGTCATTTAATAACATAATAAATCATTTAGGTTAGAAATTTTCGTCGATGCAACCAAAAACGTGTACATGCATAAAATTAGTGCTAACATGTTAAAATAATGGACATATGTTATTTTTGACAATTGGTCGAAGTATATCAAATACTAAAGTATACTGTTTAAAACTCGATTTCAGTATTTTTTTGGTTATTAACATGTTCATGTAGCTAATCACAATTTATACATAAAAGGCTTCACATTTGGGGGTTTGAGTATTGTTTCGGACGCACGAACTTAATAAAGTGCTATATTTTCTATCAGTATATTTTACATGTTTTAATAGTTTTATGAACCTTTGAGTAAAGCAAAGACAATGGAAATTTGACCTACAAGTATCTATTTGTTACTGGTCGTTAACACGCCCCAATCATTAATTTGTTTCAATAAGTGTTACCCAATGTTTAATTTATTTTGGAATCTTTGTATTTTCACAATTCTCCGTACACTGTAACTTTCGGACAAAGCATATCATAATGAATCGAAATATTGCAGAATACTCGGTTTAATTTTTTTTTTTTTTTTCAGTCAAAGACTTAAATTCTACTTTTTAGGCTGAGTTGAAGCATTCTTTGTTTCCCACCTCTTGTTGGAGAATTTTAATAGTCTTAGTAAAGCAAACAGTCAAAAACATATTTCAGAAAATGTTTTATTTAAGAAGAATAAATATCAAGCAGAATGTATTTTTATTTCTGTTGATGTTTGGTGTTTGGTCATTCTTGCTGGCTGATAGGGTTTGCATTTTTTATTTGACGGAAAATTAATTAAAAATCATGGCTTAAGCTTTCCAGTAACACAAAAAAATCAATATACTACAGTAACTACTTATCTTGTGATTTACTCTGTCACTTTTCCCCTATAAGTTATTCTGCATATGCAGTGATCCCGTTCCCGGTTTGTTTCTTCCCTCCCCCCAATTAAAAAAACCAAGATGCAGGAACAAACGATTTTTCGCAAAGCTGGTAGTTTAATGTTTAAGAGCCATTATTGTAAATCAACTTTTTTCTCGATATTAACACAGTTAGACAACTTAAATCTAGAATCTATGAAAAACGTGATAATTTCAATTTTCCAATTGACAATTGTCCAATTCTCAGCAGTAACATACCCTATGCTCCGTCGTATGGCGTTTACATATCTAAGTTAATACGTCACGCTCGTGTATGTTCACACTAATCGGACATAATTGACAGTGATGTGCTTCTAACACATAAACTGCTAAAACAGAGTTACGAGGAAGAACGACTGAAATCGACACTTCATCAGTTTCTTTCCGTTCATCTTTACGAATTAGTTAACCAACACAGTGTGTCTGTGTCTAAACTCACTAGCGTCATATATTTTGGCGATCGTAGATATTTAAATTCCAGTATAATTGCCTGATCTGAAATTTAACGATTGTGAAATTTTGACTAAGTCTGAATTCAAATTGCTAGACAGTGAAGCATGAATAACACTTACACTTAATACACTTACCCTGTCGACGCACCAAGTCTCGCACCTTTTGGGGTAACCTTTTTGTTCTCTTCCTTATCGATATACTATATTTGAACATAGGTTAACTTCTGTCGCCTAATTCTATTTCGTCGGATACTTGTTCTCTCGTAAACTCTCCCTGTACTCTTGACATGTTTGGTTTGGTGTTATAGTGGTACATTTAGAGCAAACACCAAAAAATATTCCAAAAAGTTGTTTTCGGATTACATATATAAATTAATCATTCCAATGGATATACAGATCCCGAGTCTTTACCAAACATTGTATCATATTTCCATATTGCAGTGATATGTGTTTTCGCTAACAACTGTTTGCTATTTGAACTTTATGATATTTTCGTATTTTATCAATATTTCAAGGTATGAACCATATATCTTGTGTTGATAATATTACTTTTTATTTTAATACAGGTTTTTAATTAAAATACTTACAATCTTTCCGATAGTATATTTTAATATTTGTGATGAAAGCTAATTTAGAAAGTTGTAGACCCCACCATGCCTTAGAGTGACCACTATCTGTTACCGAGCATCCATCAGTATATATATTATTTGCTGGTTCCTCTATTGCTAGTATTGCATGGTGTTCACCAAGGTTATCTGTATATGTTGATGATTGTGACACATTACCTTGTACAGCTAGATTCACTGTAAGTGATAAAATTGTCTGTATTTTATAATTTGATCACAAAATGCACAAATTACAGTGCTAATATTTGTCTAGTTGTGTAGTAATTGTGTCAATGTTCACTGATAACTCCGCTATGGTATTACTGATTACCGATGTTTAAGATTTGAACCATTCTAGAGATAATCCAAATATTCATTGGGTTCTTTGTCCTTAATCTTTAATTTTATGAGTGGTTTATCTAGATTTTTCTTTTTTTTTTTTATTAAGTTTCTCGTGTTTGTTCTTTAACTAATAATTATGATTCATTGATATTTTGTTTTCTTCTAGAAAAAAGGGGTGCACCATGAACAATGCTGGCTACATTTATGTAATTGAGTAATGTATCAGTACTAAAAAAAAGGGTAGTTGAATGTTTTAAAAGGGAGGCCAAAGAAGTAGTATGTGCTCCGGTCAGTTGTCAATTTCAACACTTATTAAAGAGTGTTTCAAAATGAAAGGTATGCCAGTCCTGGTATCAAGTTTCAATTAACAAAAACGGTTATGATTTTATTTGGGGAATGGTAATAGTAATGGTTGCATATCATTCAAAACAGCCAATGCAATGAACCTCAAATGGTATTTCTGTTTGTCTTTCGCATTGACTCAATTAGTACTACGGATAACAGGACTTTTTCTGAACAAATTATGCTAATCAAAATGTATTCGTCATAGCTGGACAAAACGTGACATTTACATCAGCAGTTGAGTGTGGAACCTCTGAAAGATAAAACAGCAACAGATGTAGTCAATGCTTTAATGATACAGGAACACACTCATGAAAAGAGTTTTCTATAAGTTGAATAACATAATGAAATCCTACCTGAACAAACAAGCGTTTACTTAATTAAAAACAATTATTTATAGTATTATTTTATTCAAATATTTCAACCTAGATTTTCAAAAATATCAATTTTCGTCAGCATTTACAAGGAAACATTGATTTAAACAAAAATGTTTTCTATTGTGGATTACAGAAAACAAATTCAGGAACATCGTCTTATACTACACAATCAGGAACTGCTTATTCATCAGAATCGCTTGAATACAACCAAAATAAATTATGATGCATGTTTCTTTTCATTCATTTGTTTTAAATTTTAAGTGTTTGTTTGTCAGTGTTCGTCAATGTTTTTTTTACGGATTGGTCTTCGTCCTTTTGATTCCCATCTTCTAGACTTACGATGCGGTTCACGACCGTACTGTTACTGTTTTGGAAAAGCTCATCAGATATACTAAAGTAACAGATTTACAATTTAGTAAATCTGACTTGCGTTACACAACATTCATCGTTGTTACTTGAATCGAACAGTTAGACGGTCACATTAAACATGTTAAATACAAAGTTGAAAATCATTTAAAACCAAAAATTCCGAAAAGTTGTGCAAAAAACGCACAAAAAAAAACTCAACAAAGATATTAAGAATAGGTATAATCTATGCCTCCGGGTAAAAAAAACCTTCGTGCTGTTTTTTTTTTCCGCAATAATTCAACATTTTATAAGCGGTAAAGTACAAACAAATGACACGGTTGATGTGCATGTTGGGGAACGTAAGGAATATAATATATTATCAAGACTTCGACATTCATACACAACTCCAATTTATTACCTCTTAGATTCAATGTAATATCAATAAAAACTGATCATGTATAAGTCAGACTGCAGAAAACTTTCATTTTTTCGTTAAATGTCTGTTTTATGCACAAATCAGATTTCATCTATTCGATTATTTGCTGTTCGGTCTCTAGATCCCGTTACTTTACTAAACACATTGACATTTTAACACAATTCGTATTTAATTAAACAAGTTTTGCATTTTATTAAAAAAAGTGAACGTTCTGACCTTAAATTGTCTTTCTATAAAGTTTATTTTGTTGGAGGATTAGCATTAGGGCGTAGTGCTGTTATCTATTTTGGAAATTTTGTACTTTTTGCTGTAACTGTTGTTCAAATTTATATGTGTTTTATGTTTGGACAGTTTTAGCTGCTTGGTCCACAACTACAACAATTTTTTTGTTGGCGTCTTTGTTGGATTTATCTGTATGTTTCTTGAATTGTTAAGTCGGTTGTGTTTGTATGTCTGTGATGTATGTTTACGCAGTTTTTGCTGCTGGTCCCAATTATTTTCACGTCAACCAATTATGTGTGTCTGTTAGGAGACAATAGGAAGATACTGAAAATAACGGAGAATTTGAGATGTTTTTTTCTTTGTGATGAAGAACGTTGCTGCTGTTGATAGTGTCGATTCAGAATTGGAAGGAGTGTTCTATTGTCATCGTGTAAAGGTTCCAATCTTACTGGTTGAACAGACGGAAAATAACTACATCATCAATTATTATTACCAGTCTGTATATTGTATATTGGAGAAAACATATCTATACATTTTTTTGTCAAGTGCATAATCTATTAAACATTTTAGAAAGTTTACAGATAGTGAAACAAGAATGGTACGAATGTGTTGTAACGTATGCGGGTGATGCTGATATGTAACAAGGTCACGAAAGCTTCCATTAGTGATTTAAAAAAAAATGTTTTACATTTGAATGAGGGTGACAAAACCTACACTTGGGTCTTAAGCTAGTGTTGAATATATTTATTACGTTTATATCATGGCAGACTGGAATTGACAAATATATATACTTTGATGCTTCAATATATATAAACGTCTGTGTGTTGCGATTTAATTTTGAAATACATCAATTTAAAAAGTAAAATGGCTCCTGAGGGGTCTTATGTTACAATCATCTTTAAGTAACTTATTTGTGGTTGATGTACCAACAGGGTTAGCCGTCATATTTAGAAAATGAATCGATCGAAATAACGAGACAGCATACATCAGTTGCATCTCCAATTTCCAATGACATGTATTAATAGACTCTTTTTTTTACTTTTCACTCCTTTTATGTTGCTTCTTAATCATCCTTGAGATATCTTCCGCCTCCCTTGTAATCAGTTTTATATTCTACTTGCGTTCTTTTATTTGTAAGCCATCCATCCGTTTTTAAAGATGATTAGAATCAGGACTTTTAGAAGGCAACATAAATTCCTCATCTTGGAACGAGTAGTGAGAGGAGAAATAAGACAATAAAATATATATCATTTAAACAATAAATGAGAAGTAATCTATTTCATTTGAAATGAGTGATATGTAACTGATGTATGATATGCCATAATCATGATAATGTCGAACAATGCATCAAAATCAAAACTGTTTCAAATACAGATTTAGTTCAGTTCAAAATAAAGCGCTGTAATTCTTTTACACAACAAATGTAATAAATATATGACCACATCAACATGATCAACGGTCTAGTTTCTTAATAGGTAGGCTCAGAACAGCATAGTCATGGTATATTAACTGACAGTACTTTTAACATAGGACACGGGAGGTTTAATCCCTCGCAAAAATGTTAAACCCATCACATTTTGTATGTGTCTGTCGAAAACCATGAGCCTATCATTCAGTGGTTGTCACAAAGTTTATTAATATGTTACGCCATAAAAAAAAACCATATGTCATAATCTGCACAATTAGATCTTTTTGAACAAGATGTATAATAAGCTGAATATATTTCATTTCTGCATCCTATTTCAGTTCGATAGATGCACTGATCTATTTATAAAAATGTTGAATTATTGAAAATACCAAAGTTTGACTACCCAAAGGCATATATAGCCTAGTATGCTTGATGAGCTTTTTGTTGTTTTTTGCAGAACTATTGGGATTTTTTGGATTTCATGCTCTTCCAATTTGTCCATGGACAAATACCAATCTGTAAACAAAACAAAATTCCCAGACATAACCCGAACAATGACCGAAAATGACTTTTAACAAAATGAAGAACAAAACATGCATCAAACAACACTGGGCGATCATGAAGTATGAGCAGCTTACATGTATGCATCTTCTTAGAAACACATTTTACTTCTATTTTTTTTCAAATGTTAATTAGTGATACATTTAAGAAGGAGAGTGAATAATGTCCATATTATAATCGATTTAGTAGTAAAAGACAAAGTTTTAGAATCTGCTGTAAGTAATCCATTCAGAATTTGATAGTTTTGAATACATGGTGTACATGTTGTACAAATGTACGTGGAAATGCTCAGGAAAAATAGTACGTTGAACTCTAGGATAATTCTCTTTCATTTAAGAGAAATCTTGTAAATGATAGTTTTTAATTATGTAAATTCGTGTTTTATCGATCATTTTATATGACATAATGTATATAAAACTCTTTTGAGGAAAGTGTTCCTGTATTATTAAAGCATTGACTACATATGTTGATGTTTTAATAAAAGAGAGGCAAAAGGTACCAAAGGGACATTCCAACTCATAAGTCGAAAAGAAACTGACAACGCCATGGCTAAAAAAGAAAAGACCAACAAAAGTACACAAAACACAACATAAAAAACAAAAAACTGAGCAACACGAACCCCACCAAAAACTGGGGGTGATCTCAAAAGCTCTGGAAGGGTAAGCAGATCCTGCTCCACATGTGGCACCCGTCGTGTTGCTCATGTTAGTACAAATCCGGTAATAAGTCTAATTCGGTAGGTCTCATTCGGGAAAAGGGAATGGGATAGTAGTTACGACATTAGGTAGCAATACACAGTTAGGAAATAAACTTAAAATTGACATTCATCATTTTTAAACACACTCTTTCCCTTCCTTTCTAACAAATAAGGCTTAATATTTGTGTTATGCATGTGTATATTTATAGAAAGAGAGTCTTCCATAGATTTGATTTCTAATGGTTATTATGGTGAAATATAATCTCTTTTGGGTGTAACCATGGCAACAATCTGCATTTCTTTGATACAAAATATTGCATAAAAAAGGGGGTGAACATGTCACAAAAGTTTCCAAAATTTGGTCCAAAGGAAAATTTCAATCAATTACAGTGATACCTTTCCTGAATCCATAGACATATATCTATCAAGAGGTCCAAAAAAAATCATATGCATTTCTGCTCGTTTTTCCATAAAATTGAATTGAAAAGATCGAGCGCAAAATCTTTGTTGATAAACATTACAATAATTTATGGACCTATGGGCGGTACGGATAGGAAAATACGGACTGTCAAACAAAAAATGGCCTATAAAACATGCAAAAAACAATCTAAATGTTCATATAAACCCACTAAGAAGGCTATATTATTCTTCAATTATTCTTCAATTATCTAAAAATCTACTTTATTGTACAAAAACTTTCATATTTAAAAAATTCACCATGGCCATTATGCGAAACTAAACTTCTAACTGTGTATTGCTACCTTAAGGATTAACATTTTTTTTCCCAATTCCATTTTAAATGGATTTCTGTGTTTTGCTAGCTTAAACGAGCAAATTGGCCTGCTAGTTTTGAAAATTGGTTCAGAAATAAATATTTTATGAAGGTTAGCAGCTGACACTGAAATGCAACAAAAAAGTGATTTGGTGAAACATGCCATGTCAAAGTGTTAATTCTCCTTTTTTAGTCAAATTTCTAAAACTATACCTTCTGTGCTTGTCTTTTCTTGTTTAAAAACTTAAATTAACCTTAACAGTAGACAAATTTTACAAGTTAAAGCTATTTAAAGGCTTTAGAATGTCAATTTTGTTGTGTATTAGCATACCAAAGCCTTGGTTAAAATTTAGCAAATACTGAATTAATTTATAACAGCGGGAACAAATTTAGACTTAATTCATGCTAAATTGTGACTTTATACTTGCTAAAATAATAAATTTGATTTAGTCGCATGCAAAAATATAAAGCGTTCCCTTCTGAGGTTTTTACATAACGCGCATTGTTTCTTTTCCAAGGGGTAGCCAATAAAGTATCAATGTATGACCGAACCAAGTCTTTGTGTCAAAATGTCTATATTGGTTGCTAAGGACAATAAACAACAAAAGTAACATACATTGTCATACTAAAAGATGTTTCTCCCTCAGAATTGTATCTATAATCTAAATATCAATAGATTTGTGGTATGATTTGTCTATAAATAAGCAATTATGTGATTTGTCAAATGCCATAAGGTAGCAATACACAGTTAGGAAAAAAACTTTAAATTGACACTCATAATTTTTAAACACCCTCTTTCCCTTCCTTTCTATCAATACTAAGGCTTAATATTTGTGTTATGCATGTGTATATTTATAGAAAGAGAATCTTCCATAGATTTGATTTCTAATGGTTATAATGGTGAAATATAATCTCTTTTGGGTGTAACCATGGCAACAATCTGCATTTCTTTGATACAAAATATTGCATAAAAAAGGGGGTGAACATGTCACAAAAGTTTCCAAAATTTGGTCCAAAGGAAAATTTCAATCAATTACAGTGATACCTTTCCTGAATCCATAGACATATATCTATCAAGAGGTCCAAAAAAAATCATATGCATTTCTGCTCGTTTTTCCATAAAATTGAATTGAAAAGATCGAGCGCAAAATCTTTGTTGATAAACGCTACAATAATTTATGGACCTATGGGCGGTACGGATAGGAAAATACGGACTGTCAAACAGAAAAATGGCCTATAAAACATGCTAAAAACAATCTAAATGTTCATATGAACCCACTAAGGAGGCTATATTATTCTTCAATTATCTAAAAATCAATTTTATTGTACAAAAACTTTCATATTTAAAAAATTCACCATGGCCATTATGCGAAACTAAACTTCTAACTGTGTATTGCTACCTTAGGAACATATCCGCTATCATCTGTAAAACGGATATTCCGTAATGGTCAACCAACTCGTGATGGGGTCCGTAAAATTTACGAAGGGATGATTTCAACTTCACCACTTGGAACTCTTGGTTTAATAGCTTCCTTATGAGCAGCTACCCTCTATCAAGGAAAGCATGATAGGTAATAAAAGCCCTGGAGTATCGTATCAACTGGGAGATATATACTCCGTTTGCAGGCGCTGCTGGAATGTTGCTACATAAAAATGGAAAGGTCACAATTGGGAAGCTGAAATCATCTCTTTTGTCATAAAGTTTTGTTTTCAACCGACAAAGTTTTGTTTTGTTTATCTTGCAGCGGTTGCACACACAACTGTTAATTTCACATGTAATTTTTTGTCTAGCTATAATGAATAAACATTGATTATAATATCGTTTAATTTAAAACAAAATGTCAGTCCTTTTTCTCTATCAAAAAATTTATCCATTTATACTGAGATTAAAAATGTTACATAACGCTCACTAGTTTCGTTCCATCATTTTATATTCGATAATAAAGTTTACAGTGCAAAGTTTTATGTCATAAGATATGTGCAATTTATATATACACAATTACGATTAGATATTTAAACAACACATATTTTACATGCACTGATATATTAAGCAATGCAGTATCAATGTCACGTGCTATTTGTTTAAATTTTTATTTACTTCTAACAATAACAAAAAAGAAGTGTCTTGCATGTTTTATACTTAAAGAAATTTGTATAATAATATTCAATTGAAATATCACACTCAGACATCTGTTATGCTGGCTGTGCATTTAAATATTCGAAACTTTTATGAGATCAACTTTATTTGATAATAGAATTGCTACGTTAACATATTTCAATTTCAGTAGATAAAAACGTAGCAATGTTTCATGTATTTGGCATTCCTTAGTGATAAAACTAATGGCAAAAAAATAGCCCAATGACTATCATAACAATTAAAATGTCAACTCTATTACAATCCATTATTTTTCAATAGGTTAAATTAATAATTAAATTTAAAGAGTATTTTCTTCTAGTTACGTTTTTTCTGTCTTTCTTTCGGCAAAGGTCAACGAAATGTGAATTTG